GCACACGGCCATCGTCATCGGCCAGATGACGCGCGCGCGGCTGGCGCTGTTCCGGCTGTTCTTCCCGTGCCGCTGGCCCAGCCAGCTGATGGCGGCCAGCAGCATGCTGGGCGTGGACGCGGGCGGCGGCGGCGGCGCGCCGGGCCCCGTGGTGCTGGCGTGGGACGAGCGGCTGCGGCGGCTGCGGCTGACGGTGGCCGACATCGACGCCAAGCTGGGCCAGTGGCGCGTGTACCTCGAGTCGATGTTCCCGCTGCGCGACCACGAGGAGGGCTCGGGCCGCACGGCCGCCGACAACCGCGCCATCCACCGCGACCGCGTCGAGTACGCCAACCACCGCTTCCTGCTGGCCGCCCTGCTGCTGCAGAACCGCGCCACCGTGCTGCAGCTGCACGCCTGCCTGTCGCGGCGCGAGCGCAGGCTGCGCCGGGCCGGCGCCGGCCACCCGCCCGACCCGGCGCGCCAGGCCCTGGCCGAGCACGTGCTGCCCAACCAGCCGGGCGACCGCGCCATGCGCGCGCTGGCGGCGTACGCCGCCGAGTGCTGGGCCGTGGTGGTGCGCCAGGCGTGCGAGATCGAGGCCCTGCTTGAGTCGCACTGGCAGGTGCGCGCCCACAGCAGCCCGGCGCTGCGCGCCATGGCCAAGCCCGACTGGCACGCCAAGGACGCCATCCGGGCGCGCGTCAACGCCGACGCCAACCTGCGCCGCTACCCGGACGACCCCGCTGCGGGCACCCGCCGCCCGCCGCCGCCGCCCGACACGCCCGTGTACTTCTCGCACGACTCGCCGCCCTACCCGCTGCTCGTGCCCAACTACCGCCTGCTCGACGCCGTCATCAAGGCCGCCGACGCCCAGCCCGGCGCGCCGCTGCGCCACCACGGCGCCGAGCTGACGCTGGCCGCCAGCATGAACTCCAACATCCACATCGAGACCAACGCCAACGCGCGCGACCTGGCCGCACACCTGCCCGCCTCGCCGGCCGCCCGCCAGCGCCGCATGCGCATCAACACCACCGACGCCGGCGAGGTCGACTTTGAGTCGCCCGACGACGACGACCCTGCGGACGCTGCTGCCGACGGCAACGATGACGTCGACGCCGCCGCCGCCGCCACGGCTGCCGCGTCCCCGCCCATGGACCCGTTCCGCATGCAGCTGACCGGCACGTCGTACTTCATCTTCCTGGCGGCCAAGACCATGATCATGTACCTGCACCACGCCAAGATGTCCGCGTACATCCTGGCGCGCCGCCGCACGGCCGACGGCATCCTGCCCAGCTCGTCGGTGTCCGACACCGGCGGCGACACCGACCACGCCGACGCCGACGCCGACGCCGCGCTGGTGCCCGAGTTCCTCGACGACCTGTCGCCGCCGCCGCAGCTGCGCACGCTGGCCGACATCCGCCGCATGCAGGACCGCCTGGAGATCGTGCTGACTGCGCTGCGCCGCTCGCAGAAGTACTGGATGCCCGTCGATTACTACGTGCTGTGCGCCCGCAAGCTGCGCAACATGGCTGTCTACGGGCCCTGGCGCCACGAGGACCCCGTGTCGACGGATCTCTCGGCCGAGCTGGTCAACGGGCCGTGGCCGGGCCTGATCTGAGCGTGGCTCTTTATTTTATTCTCTTTCCTTTAGCTGCGGGTAGCGTCGTCGAATATACTGGTCGGATCAGAGGCTGTGTTTGTGGTACTTGCCGTGCACTTAGTCTGTGCGTATGCCGGCTTCTCTCTGCCTGCTGATGAGCTGCATCTGCTTGCTGAGCGTGCAAATCGGGAGGGATGGTGATCCATCTGCCTGCGCCTTGACTCCGCTTTATTTTTGTTTCTTTGTCCATCAACCATCGCCCCTCCTCGTCGTTGGTCCGGGCCTTTCTGGAATCCCGGTGGCTGAGTCTGCCTGCCCGCATGCATGCATCAACACAGGCGACAAAACAAATAACGCAGCCGATTGTTGTGACCTTGGGATTTCTTCTTTTTTTTCTTCTTCTATAAATACACTCGCTCGCTCGTTCACTCGCTCCAGCCTTCCTCATTTATGCCAAAGGGCTGTCTTTGAAATATTTTTATTTTATCGAAATTGTATCTTCCTTCCTATTCCGCCTTCAGCTTGCTTCCCCCCCCCCTTTCTTTATCCTCGACCAATCCCCTCACCCACGAGGCGCCCAGTGTACAGAACGTGATTCGCACATTAATTGCTCGCCACCAAGCCAGCGCTCCTCCTTTCTTTCCATCTCTCCTTCCTTCTCTCTCCCTCTACCTTTTCCTCTCACTCTCTCACTCTCTCACTCTGTCTACTGTAATATTACTCTAATTTCCTCCCTCCTCTACAAACAAACCACACCGCTGCCGAAACAAAAAGCAGTAACACCACAGTTAACCAGCATATACACACAGGATGAGCGCACTCTCACACGCCAGAAGGACGTCCGCCGCCGTATCCTCGGTAGCTGCCTCAGAAGACTCGCACCCGAGCCGCTGCGAGTCACCACTCCTACCCATGGGCCAAATTGACGCCGACCGGCTGTCCCAGCAACTCGACTCGCCGCGGCAGCGGCAAAGCCAGCACTCGATAATGTACAAAAACTACGCGTTGCGTGACGACGACGACAACGAGCAGGACTGTGACGATGGCGCGAGTGGCGAGGATGCGGCGGCGGTAGCGGGTGGTAACTCGGGGAGGCCGCGGGGCGCGTCGGGGCGTGGGTTCCGCAGATACCCGACAGGCCTGGGGTCGTGGGGCAGGCGGGCGGACGAGGGAGTGGCTGGCCGCGTGGATCGCCCGCAGATGCGCCGCCCGAGGTCACTTCTGAGGCCAAAGTCTTATCGCATCGGTGTGGGCGAGCCGCAGACGTCGCCTGTGCGCGAATTTTCGTCAAAGATCAAGTCTGCGTGCAAGAAACTCAACCCCAAGAGACTCGCCAGATCGGCTCACCACGGCCACGGCCACGGCCAGCAGCAGCAGCAGCAGCATGGGGACACGCAGGATGACGCCAGCGATGCTGCACGCTATGACCCGAATGCCCTGACCAGGTAGCCCTCAGCTTTTTTTATCTTTCTAATCATCTCACTTTTTTATTTTAATATTCCTGCTATTCATAGAAGCAACACACCTTACCTACTCTTGCACCACACGCCATATGCGGTCATCCGAGACCAGTCGGACGGCATCTGTCTTCCGCAGATGCCGATGACAAATTGGCCAGCAAGGTCCACCACCCGCCTTTTTATTTTACGCTGCCCAGATCTACGCGCCTGCGGAACATTCTCTTTTTCTTCACCTGCCGGCAAATCGCAGCATGCTGTAGGCCTGAATTTGCCAGGCCACTGGGAACACGGACCACGTGCCTGGTCATGTCCACATTTTCTATTTCTCCCCACTTGCAACCAGCCGTCGCATGTCCAAGTACCCTCGTCCAAGGAAAAAAATTTCGGTGATGTCGACGTCGCATGGACCTGCTTCATTAAAACGATAGATGCATCTCTAACACTACACCTGCGTAATTTTTTCTTTTCAAGAATAATATTTTTTCAACACATCCAATATTCTATTTCTACACCTATTATCCATTGTACAAAAGCTCACTGCGGATAAACTCAACAACAGCACAAAGGCACGCACACGCACACACACAATACAGCATACAGATGGGCCAGCTAAAGGATTGTCTCTTGGCGCTGTTCCGCCGGGGCCGCAGGCTGGACAGCTCCGACTCGACGTCGACGCTGACCGGCGTCACCGACAAGTCGCCCGCGATCCCGCAGCTCTCACGGCCCACGCGTAAGCCCAAGCCCTACGCAATATTCTCACCGCCCTCGCACCCGTTCGCAAACTACGAAACCTTCAACCACGAGACGCGGCAGATAATCAACACCACGGGAGTGCACGTATTCAAAACCACGCTGGCCGAAGACGCCCTTCTTCCCCTGGAGGACGAGGGAATCGGTCGCCTAAAGGCCATGTACGAAGTGTGGGTGGCGAAAAACGGATCCCTGTCGCGCGACAAAATCAGCGGCATCTTCGCCCTCGGATTTGTCAGCGCCAACTCGATAACCGGCACGGTGTATTGCGCCGACAAGGCCACGCGCCGGATGACGTCCAAGCACAACGTCCAGTGCCTGTACACGGGCACGGGCGTGCGCCGCGAATGCAACATTGCAAACTCTGTGGGCTGCATGGGCATGGAGATCTGGATCAAGGCCAGCATGCCGCTCGGCCAGCCCTGGATTCAGTCCATGTACGTGCCGCCCGAGCAGCGCCTCAACCGCCTCTGCCTGCTGGCCGCCCCCAACCCCGAGTACTCCATCTACGTCAATACCACGCCCGGGCTCGCCGAGCTCCCGATGCTCACCGCCAAGCCCGGCTCCCCCGTGTTCGAGCTCGACAGCGACGTCTACGTGTACATCTGCCGCCTCCTGCCCTGCGCCTCCGTCAGCCACCTGGTCAGGGCCGCCGCAGCGCGCACCAAGGAGCCGCCCATGTTCGAGTTCCCCCGGCTGCGCCGCGCCGCCACCATCACCACCACCACCGAGCCGCACGCCCAGTCGAAGCCCCACAGGTCCTCCAGCTCCTGCTGCATGCAGCGCATCATGCGCCAGGACAACAAGCTGGAAGACGCAGAGATACACACCGAGATCTGCAAGCCCCACGTGCTCAAGCCTGGCAAGAAGCGCTCGCTTTTTGTCCACGTGCTCAGCGACTTTGACAAGAAGGGAAAGCCCAGGAGCGGCGGCGCGCGGCTCATGCTCCCGGGATCGATACAGCTCGGCTGCGGAGACGGCATCCACCTCCAGGACGTCACGCCCGGGTCGGAGATCACAATCAAAAACACTGGATACGACCGGGCCCAGTTCATCTTGATAGACATGCCCGGCTACCTGGACGCAGACGACGCGCGCAGCATATGAAGCAAAAGAAAACTTTTTTAATTACTTGTTACGTTGAATATAAATATAATCAATCCTACTACCGTCTCATCGCGGCAAATAAAAAAGCAAAACAAAAGTGCCTACTGCCGGGATCGAACCAGCGCTCTTCAGTTTTATTGCAGTGCATACGCACGTTACAAGACTGACGCCTTACCACTTGGCCAAGCAGGCTTGCCAATCTAATTTGCTATCTCGCCCAGATTATTTTGCGTTAGTATTAATCTGACCGGTAGACTCTTTAATATAGGCTATATCGACCATTTTTATAAAAAAAAACTCTTTCCTTTACTTCTCGCAAAAAATAGGGCAGCCAATCATATTTAAGGAATATTAATACTCTTATCTATTGCTTACCAAATGTTTACCCAAAGCCAATTGCCCCCACAATGAGCGAGCAACGCCCACTCCCAGGCACACCACCACATGCACCATTGCCAGCTCCAGTGCCTGACGGGCCGACCTGGAGCACTTCCCTGGTCTGTGGCAGACCACCCAACACCGGTCAGCAAGGAACATTGCAGCACATCCTTGAAAACCAGGCCAGACAGGCCAACAAGCTGACCCACATCAACAATGGTACCCCGTTCAGCGCCCTGCATCTCATTGAGAAGACAGTGGCTGAAGCTGACACCATCGATGTAACCACAGTCCCCCAGTCCACATTGTCCTGAACCAGCATGACTACCCTTGCCTCAGGTACTTGGTCCCTGTTAGCACTACCTACACTGACATCCAAGACACAATTATTGCCAATCAAGACAAGTTTACAAGCTTGCTCCACCTTACCTTCTACCACTCCTCTCACATTGTTATAATCAGATTCTGTGACAAGAAGGACAGACTTACCTTCCTTGCTGATCCCATTAAAATCTGTGGCAACCCAGCCCACTTGTATCAGCACCAGGCTTACAACCTGGAGATAATGTTTGTTACACTCACTAAGTTGCAGGTGGCCAGCCCCAATGATGTTACAACCAAGATCCATACCACCCTTAGCAACCATGGGCAGATTACCAGTATATTCCTTTACAAGTATGGCCTATTCATCTCCTTACTGCCACAGGTTATTATGTGGATTTGAATCTAATATATTTTATTGTCTGAAGGTTACTAAGTGGCTAGCATCAAAGCAATATTGGAAAATGAAATGAGTTGAAAAGAGAAGAAGTGCAGTATCCCAAGGGTACTGCACAGACTTGAAAATAAAGGGAACCAAGCCTGCCTTAATTTTATTTGAGTAGATCTAAATAAATAGCAATTAAAATTACTTATTAACTCTCAGTCAGAGGGCAAGACCATTGATAACCTGATAAAAATTGACAGATATAGCATCATATCTGTTGGAAAACACATGGACAAGCCATGCATTCATTGCAAGAAAAAGGGCAACATGAAGGAGTTTATACCAAATCTTTTGATTAAATATTTTTACATTAATATTTAATTAAAGGTTTACTTAAAACAAATCCGAAAACCATTCAGGTTTTGGTAAAACCTTAAAATCTGAACAGCATCCCTGATTATATGTCATTGTAAAGCTCTTTTCCAGGCCTCACTTTCTCTTCTAGAGTCTTGCTCTATTCTGACTTCTTGGCCTAACTACATCTTGACTCTTACATTGTTGTGTAAATAATATTTAAATAGATAGTAATTAGATAAGTGGGTAGAAAATTTGTATTATTAAATAATCCCTAATGTAATAAAGATATGAAAATAAATTTCTTTTCATGGACACAGTACTTGAACTGTAACTCTTCTCTATAAATAATTTATTGATTTTTTTCATAATAGAGTTTCCGCGCATTTAACCAATTAGAAATTTCTTCTATTTCATCTTCCAACAGTGAATTCTGAAGATTATCCAAAACCTTATCATACCCATGGAATCTACATAATTCTGAAATAAGTCCATCCATGCTCCATCCTTTTGCTTTCCAATAATAAATGATATCAATGATATCGGCAACTTGGCAAATGTCTCTAATTAATTCATCATATGTCTGAGCTGAGCTTCTACTAAAATTGATAATCAGATTATCTATTAGTAAAAAAGAAGAAGATACAACCTGGCAGTCCATTATTATTGTTATCGAATTGAGCTTCTTGACCAAAGACAGGAATTATGTAATTATATATATGTATATATATATATATATGTATTTAAGATATAATTTTTAATTTAGAAGTGAAGCAACTACTTATATATAGTTGGAGGTAATTTAAATTATTTTGATGAACACGTTAAATTTCTAAACCTTAGCAGAAAACCACAAAATTATATAATAGGATTAAAATATTTTAATATATTTAACATTGCAAAAAAACTACAAATATATTTTGTACGTTTTTTATTAGTGTAGATCTTTATATAAACATTTAAATAAATTTTATTACATTCTTTATAATAAAAATGTTATACAAATTATAATAAAGTATATTAAAAAATAATTTACATACATTAATTTTTAGATACTTCCTTTATTGCGCTTTTGTTTAAAGGCAAGCAATTTAATTTAAAATTATAATTTTAATAGTTTACGCATGCTAAAAACGTACAATAATAATAATAATAATTTAATTTTACGCTAATGTTTGTAAACCTATTTGTTCTATATAACGTGTCATCTTTTAATTTATTTTTAATATATTTTAATTTAATTAATTCTTTTAATTATAAAAAGAATACATTAATAACAGAACAATGGTTTTATCAACTTATTTTTCTATATATATAGTATTAAAAAATCTATGCCGCGCTTATTTGCTAGTAAGCTAATGATAGCCTAGTTGGAGTTTGTTACTTTGAAATATTATGTTTTCTTATTTTATTTAATAGTTTTAGTTTTACCCTTAAATGTATTGCTTATTTAGCATATTAGCAAAACTAGATAACACAGGTGGGAGATGTGGGCATCCAAAGTTTACTTTTATAGACTGTTACAGAAACTGTTGTTCTAACGTGTCACATTTTTAAGATAATACAACTTTGAATATGGTAGTGCACAATAGTAATTTTAATTCACCCTACTTAATATCTAGCTTTTTAATTACAAATAGATTTATAAAATAGGTTCCATTTTGCCAAAAATTGGTTAAAAAGCCAAAGTACAAATAAATTTAAATTATTGTTAGCGAAACAACCTCAGATATCAGAAATACGCTCGCAACTGTACTAGAAACACTGAACCACACGCAGACACAACATACATACGTTATACTGTTCATTAAAGCTAGAATATTGACAAAAAGCCAACTATCGTTTACCTCTTGTTTATATTAGATTTACATATGAATATGGTAGTTTGGTAAATAGCAGTCCTTTATTTGCCTGTATTCATTCCTCGTGAACTTGTCATGTTTAATATTTAGTAGTAATTCATTGCTTGTCCTACTTATCAAAAATTAGAACAGAGCGCTCGAGACACCGGCAATCAGGAGAGCTGAGAGCGACATGGTCGAAAGAAGCGACGAGGCACCGCTGGTGGTGCTGTCCTCGTCATCGAGACCGTCGCTGCTCTCTTCGTCATCGCTACCAGAGCTAGATTTGTGGCTGTGAGACGAGCTCTTGACGCCGCTTGCGCTTTCCTCGGACTCGTCAGAGACTTCGTTGTCAAGCTCATCAGCCGAGTCGTCAGTCGAGTCATCGGCCGAGTCGGCCGCATCGGAACCGGCGGCCGATGAAACGGAGCCAGCGACCGAGCTACCATCGCTAACCGCAGCAGAGATGGGAGTAGCAGCGCCCTGAGCAGCAGTAGTGTCAGCCTCAGAGCCAGAGCCAGCGTTGGAGTTGGATCCCGTGTTTGAGCACGTGTTGGATCCCGAGTTTGAATCAGAGCCCGAGTTCGAATCAGAGCCCGAGTTCGAGTCCGAGCCCGAGTTCGAGTTGGAACCAGAGTTGGAGCTAGAGTCCGAGTTCAAGTTAGAATCAGAGTTGGATGTGCTGCCGCTGTTGTTGTTAGTGGTGGTAGTGTCAGAGCTGCTGCTGCCGCTGCTAGTGGTATCGGTAGTGGTCTTGCCGGCGTTGGGGTTTGTGATGCTGATGCCAGAGTCACCAATGCTGCCACCAACGTTACCGCCAATGCTACCACCAGTGTTGCTGCCCGAGTCGTCGATGCTGCCGCCAGAGCTGCCAGTGCTCTCCTCGGGGGCAGCTGAACCGTCGCTGACTGAGGCGCTAGTATCGTCCTCGGTGTCACGGCCGTTACCCTTGCCGGTGTCGTTGTTGGAGGACGAGCTGTCGTCAGAGGTTGAAGCGGTGACATCCTTGGTGCCAGCCTTCTCGTTAACAATCACAATAGCATTGCCGATTCCATTATCGATGGACTGGGCTTTAACGGCAGCAGTGGCCAGCACGGCGCACAGAGCAAGCGAAGAGATGGTGAACTTCATTGTTGATTTTAGTAGGAAAATGTAGGTGGATGATGATTAAAAAGGCGGGTGTCGAGATGGGTGTGTAAGGAGGAGGAGGTAAGGAAGAAGCGTCGTACTTGCGCAAGAGAAAGAGGTAAAGAAAAATGAGAGCGAAAATAAAGGTGAGAGGAAAGGGAAGAAAACAGGCAAGCCGAAACCTCTGCTTTTTCTCTGAAAACTCAAACTTGGTGCTCGGATTTTCTCCTCTAATGATTTGAGATGGGCGTCTTTGCAGACTGAGCACATCGTAAACATTATTATCCTTGAAAAGCGCGATCGACATTCACACATTTGTTTTTCTTGCAGGATGTTAGCAAAGAAAAAGAAGGCAATAATTCAATGCACGCGGTCGCTTCTATGCAGCAGGCAAACATGCGGTCCAGATGGTCTGGACGCAGTGTGAAGCGGGCTGCGTCGATCGCATCTTTTCAACTGCAAGTTGGACACATTTATTTATAGAAGTTTATCTTTCTATTTTGGTTGCCAAAAGTGCTAGGTTCTCGAGAGAAGTAGCCTGGTGTGTGTAATAAACAAGCTCAGCATCATCCATGCTCAGCTGACGACGCACATAGTGTGCTCGCCCGATATCTAAAAAGCGCTTAACTGCATGGCCGGCCTTGACCCGCTGGCCATACGACAGTCCGGAGTAGTGTGCAGACTCGTCGCAGTCCTGCGATTGCGACAGCGGATGAGGCTGGTTTATTGCCCAGCTGGACATGGTAACCAGGTGCCTGAATGAATCGCGCTGATCGTCGCTCCAC